TAACTTAAGATATTTTAATATTATGCCTATTTCTTGTATTTAACATTATTTTTTATGAGAAAATTAATGCTGAATTAACTTTCATATTCAAAATAGGGCGTAATTAATATTTTACAATGATTTTTGATGAGATAATAAATGCTGGATTAACTTTCATATTTAAAATAGAGTGTAAAATTTATATTAATAAGAGATGAAAAAGCTATATTATTGGAAAATAGATTGTAATAAATATTTTAAAGAATGATTTATAAATAAATAATTATCTAAATAATAAATTAGTGGGTAATATTATTTGATTATTATTTTTTTTAGAAATTGCTGATTTAAATTATTTAGTATTAACGAGAAGTGGTAATAATTTTAGTGAAATAAATAATAATTAATGAGTTTTATAAAATTGTGAAAAGCATGTAATATAATATTTGCGATTTAGAAGTATCAGATAGTGAAAAAATGAGTTTATTATATGAATTAGTGGGTATGAATTAGCTTATTATATTTTAAAATTTAAATTAATGTATAATTAATAATTAAAAAATAGATAGTAATCTTTTGATTTTAAAACAGCTAATAAATAGATTAATAATTAATTATTTAATATAGCATGTAAATAAATATTATTTTTGATTTAAAATAATCAAATAATAATTAAAATTAAAAAAAGCAAGTAAATTTTAGACACTAATTAGAATAAATATCATGAATTCCATTAAATAATTAAAATAGAAAGTATATTTTGAATATTTTTATTGAAAGAGGCTAAATAAATTATTTTAAAAAAGGGAAGATTGGTAAATAATTTTAAATAAATTTTTGAGAAATAAAAATAATCTAAATATTATAAATAGGAAGGAGTAATAAATGAAGTTTAACATTCTTTCAAAATTTAAAAAATAAATTTGATAATTAAAATAGAGAGTAATATTTTAAAGTGCATTTAAAGATTATTCAAGAATAAATTAAAATTATAATTTAAATAGAGAAAATCAGTAAAATATTAAGACAAGAAAAAATATATTTATCCAAAATTGAACAAAAAATTTATTAGCATGTAAATAAATATTAATTAAATTATTAGAAAAGATAAATTATATTAATTAATTAATAAATAAATAAATAAAATAGGATGTAATAATAATCTCTAATCATATCAGATTCTAATTTTAAATTGACTGATAATTAATAAATAGGATGTATTACTTTCAGATTGGTTTTATCATATAATCAATAGTCAATTCATTTAACTTTTGAAACAGATTGTAATATTTATTAATACTTACTTTCTTATAGACAGACATATATTCATTTATTACTTCAACATAATAGTTAGTAAAGCATTTATTATTTTTTATTGATGTTTAATTTATTTATTTATTTGTTAATAGTGAGTAATATTTTTGAATGACTTTAAATAAGAAGAAAAAGAAATATTCTAAATAGGGAGTAAAGCTTTTATGTAATGCCACTCAAAAATAAACTAAATTATTTTATTTCTATTATAGATGGTATAATCATTCAATGACATTTTATCAAAATATTCTAAAATATCTTCAACTTTAAAATAAGGGATTGGTAATTTTTAACTTTAGCATTTTAAAATATTCAAATTATATTACTTAATTAGGAAAAAGTAAATATCAGTCTAGTTATCCTCTTGGCTTGATATTATATTTAGTTTTATTAAAAATAAATAATAATAGACAGTAATTTTTTTAATAAAATTTCATAATTTAGCAAGATCGACAAAATATAAAATTTATAAAATAGAATGTAATAATTTAATTTAATTCTAATGGAAAAATACTAATTAAAACTTAAAATAGTGGGTAATTTTTTTACTAAATAGTATCAAATGATATTTATTTTTATTTTTTATTAAAAAAAGCAAGTAAAAACAATAATTTATTGTTCTAATTTTACAAAACACAATTTAACTTATAAATTTAAACAGAGCGTAACTTTCATTATTAAATTTATTCTAAATATCTCAATAATTTTATTAACCATACCAGATAGTAATATTCTTTGCTATTTATTTATTTATTAGAATATCAAGCACTTTAATATTAATAATAGCCTGTAAACTTTTATATTTATTTCTTAAAATATTAAACACATTTTACTTTATTATATCAATAAGCGGGTAATTTTATCATCTTATAGTAGACCTACTTCTAATTTTTTACATCCTTAATAGCAAGTTATTTTTCTAAAATTTTTATAATTATATGATTTTTAATCAACTTTTAAATTTAAAATAGATAGTAATTAATATTTTACAATGATATTTTATGAGAAAATAAATGCTGAATTAACTTTCATATTCAAAATAGACTGTAATTAATTAATATTTTAGAATGATTTTTGATGAGAAAATAAATGCTGAATTAACTTTCATATTCAAAATAGGGAGTAATTAATTAATATTTTACAATGATATTTTATGAGAAAATAAATGCTGAATTAACTTTCATATTCAAAATAGTGGGTAATTAATTAATATTTTAGAATGATTTTTGATGAGAAAATAAATGCTGAATTAACTTTCATATTCAAAATAGCGAGTAATTAATATTTTAGAATGATTTTTGATGAGAAAATAAATGCTGAATTAACTTTCATATTCAAAATAGTGGGTAATTAATTAATATTTTAGAATGATTTTTGATGAGAAAATAAATGCTGAATTAACTTTCATATTCAAAATAGAATGTAATTAATATTTTAGAATGATTTTTGATGAGAAAAATAAATGCTGAATTAACTTTCATATTCAAAATAGTGGGTAATTAATTAATATTTTAGAATGATTTTTGATGAGAAAATAAATGCTGAATTAACTTTCATATTCAAAATAGCGAGTAATTAATATTTTAGAATGATTTTTGATGAGAAAATAAATGCTGAATTAACTTTCATATTCAAAATAGCGTGTAATTAATTAATATTTTAGAATGATTTTTGATGAGAAAATAAATGCTGAATTAACTTTCATATTCAAAATAGATAGTAATTAAAATTTTAGAATGTTTTTTAATATGAAAGTAAAATGTAAATATAAAATAGTGAGTAAAATTGAATAAGAGTTCATAACATAAATTTGAGAATAAAATATACTTTTGAAAAACAGATGGTAATTATTAGTAGAAGATAAATAAGATAGATGGAAAATAAATTTACTTTTGAATATACAGCGAGTAATATTTTAAAAGAATAATTTTGATAGATAATCTTATTAAAATATATAAAATAGATAGTAATATTTTTGAAAAATAGTAATGTAGAAGTAAGAATAAATTAATTACTAATACTATGAAAACAGTGAGTAAGAGTTATGAAAATAATTTGAAAAATGTGAGTAACTAACTAAATATGTTAATTCTAAACTAGATTGTAAAATATTATAGCAATATAAAAAGAAAATTAAAAAAATAAAAAATAAAAATAGATTGTAATATTTTAAATACTTTTGGATGAAATACAATAAAGAAATGTAAATATAAATTTAATTAAAACAGCTGGTAATAACTAATCCTATTAAGAAACCAAAATATGAATATCTATTACTTACTTGCTTATTTATAAATAAAGTAAAATTATTTATAAGAAAAATATATTTTATTACTGAACATTTGAATAAAATAAAAAGGGTATAATACTTTGAAAGAATTTATCACCGAAGAAAGAGCAAAATTCAATGAAAATTTATAAAAATATTAGAAAGTATAATTCTTTTTTTTAAATAAATTTTTTATTTCAATTAAATTGAAAAATTTAATTTCAAAAAATAATAAAATATAAATCATGTTTTGCTTTTAAAAAGTGATGAGCCACATAGTATTTGTTAGATTCTGGCAACACAGTTTAAGAAATCAGGAATGCTCTTTTTTGTTTGTTTGTCTGTCTGTTTGTTTATTATTAATAAAATAATTGCTTGAATTATAATTAACAAATATTAAAAATAATATGAATTTGTGAAATATATTTTTATGTTTTCTATATTGATCGTTGCTTCAACTTTTAATTTCTTTTTTTTTAAACATGAAAAAAAAATCAATAATTTATTAAGATTTTATTTTAAAATATTTTTTATTAACTAATTAAGTAGTAGTAAACAATTAAATTTAATTGTTTTTTAATTTATTGAAGTTTTCATTTAAATTTCCATTTTTTTTTTGAGGTTAGAAAATAATTTCAATACTGATGTTATTTAAGTAATTATAGTATTAATGGCTTAAAAAATTTAAATAATCCTAATTTTGCAAATAAAAAATTTCCATTCAAAGTATATTTACTTATTAAGGATCTAATTTCAAGTTATAAATTTAAAAAATTGTAAAATTTAAGTTTTAACATTTATTATTATTATGCTAATAAGGGATTTATTATTTATTAATTTTTTGTTAATAAAATTAAAGCTTATAAAAAAGTAAAATATTTGATCTCTTTCACCATCTTCTTCTTCTTCTTCTTCTTTTAAAATGAATAGATTTAAATAATATACCGTAAATACTCTATCTTAAGCCGATTCTAATTTAAGACTGTGTTCTAATTTAAGCTCGCTATTAAAGCTTGTAAAATTGAAAAAATGGTTAATTATAATACTAGGTTCGCATCGCCATTATCCTTTATATTCTTTGATTAATAAATTAAGTATTTAAATTAATTTATTTGTATCAAAAGGATAAAAGGCATATGAATTTGGAGACTGTAGAAAAGGCTAGCTTGGTACTGGAAGGAGAGTAATTGAGTATTATCCTGCTGAAATACCTCTTCCTTCATTCGAAGGACATCTAAAATCAGTTAATTGTGGTGATAATCTCACGCTTTTTCTAACAGACTAAGGCGAAATATTTGCTTGTGGTAACAATTCTTTTGGCTAATAGGAACTGGCTAAGAGGTTAAATCAAGTCTTTATCTAACTAAAATTCGCATAAAATAAAAACACAAAATATCTTCTAATCTTTATAATTCAAAAATTATTTCTATTAAGGCAGGATATGCTCCTTCTTCAATAGCTCTTACAGATGACGGAAGATTGTATTTTATTTTTTAGAGAAAATTAAAATAAAATAAAAAAATATTTTTTTAAAAATGAAAATTTAATTTTATAATTTATTGTTTATTTGGTTTATTTGTTTTGTTAATTTTAAATATTTTTTTAGATATGCTTAGGGCACAGCTTTCTTTGGATATTTTGATGAGCCATAATTAATTTAGGCTGATGGTATTTTTTGGAAAGGATTAAGTTAAGGGAATAATTTTATTTGTCTGACAGATGATTAAGGAAAAGCTTATTCTTTGTGATAAAATATAAGTGGAGAATTAGGTTTAGGATTGCATCCAAGCCATCAATAATAAGCTTATTCTTAGGAAATTCAAATAAATATGGAAGTTAAATATGTCAAGAAAATAGAATATGGAGAATACTTTTCGTTTGCAGTATTGTCGAATCGATAGAAGATTGTGAATAATACATTTAATAATGAGTAAGAAGATATTTGCAGTCAATTTAATTCACATAAAAATTCATTCATTTCAAGTTAGCATAGAACTTCAATTAACAAAAAACATTAAATGCTCACTGAGCAAATCAACTAATTTTCTTAGTAAATTTAAAAAATTCTAAAGCTACTATCCCTCTGTTCTAAACAAGAATTAAATATAAGAAAATAATCAAGAAAATGAATTTAATTTTAATAATAATTATTATTAATAAACTGATTAGATTCAATAAAAAAGGTAAAGTACCAACAGTAGCTTTAGCTAGAATATTTTACAAATAGATTCGTTCGAAGAATAAAATAAAGTTTTCGATAATTACCAAATTAAAAAACACAACAGAAGCATAAGTGCTTGCTTAAATAATGGCTAAAATATACAACAATAAGAAATTTAACAAATGAAGAATTTAAGATTAAATACCCAAGGTAATAATGCTTTAATAGAAAGGTGTGAAAGAGAATAAGTTAAGCAGATGTTGAATAAAAACTAAGGAATGATCAAATTAGATCAAATTTTACCAAATTATTTTACTAATTACAGAGTTCTTACTGAATCAGCAGACTTTTCTCAATAATATCAATAGATTCTAAAGTAATTAATAAGTTAATGTTGTAAGTTAAAGCATCCCTGGCAATTTCAAGCTAGAAGCTATGCAAAGTAACCTAATTAATATGAAGCATAATGAATCTATTCAGTTAAGTTAACCTTATAAAAATTAAAATTAAAGTATCAATCATCAGATATAAATTAATAATTAAGATTAAAATATTTTAAATTTAAGTGAAATTGCATTTAATTAATCAGAAGTATTGAAAGAAAACAATTCTAATTTATAAAATAATTGTTAACTATAAAATGAATAAATGACATGCTTAAAGGATGTCTTTGACAAAACTTCTCAAAGCTTTTATTAACAACAAAATCAAATCAACAGCCAAATTCAATATTCTTAAAACAAAATTGATCATCTACAATAATAAAACAACTCATTTGTGGGAAAAATCTAAGACTTTCAATAAAAATATGATTTGATCTAAAAGCAGTTAGAACAATCCTAATAAGAAAACAAATCGCTTAAAAAATAGCTCTCAGAAGAAAAAAATAAAAATGTAAACTTATAAATTAGAGTTGATCACCTCACGAAAAAAAGCAAATCATTACAAAAGAAAAATGAACTACTACTCCTTGAAATAGATATGAACAAAAAAACCTACGAGATGAAGTGTGAAGCTTTGCTCAAATAAATTTATAATTCTCAAAGTTTAGAAACAATTTAAGATAAAGGTAATTAATAGCAGCTAAATTAAATTAATCAGCAATATGAAACTCTACTTGAAAATTTCATAACAATTAATGAAAATGGATAGAACAATAATGTCCTTGATATTTCCAATTCCTAAGTGAAAAACATGCAGACGTTTGCAGATCCGGTAGATGATAAAGAAATCATCTAAATGTAAAAAATATTGTTTATTTATTATTTAATTTATTCTTTATATTTCTAATATATAAAAAGGAACAACTAATTTGTAAAGTAAGAAAATACTTCGAAGCTTTCTAGCCAGTTTTAAAGCAGCAAAGTATCTGTTTCATAGGATTTTATAAATTTAATCCATAATAACGAATAATATCAAAATAATTAATATAACATCATTGATATGAAAGACCTCTAAATTTAAATCAACCCTTCTAGCCCTTTTTCTAATTCAAACGCATCAAAAAAGCTAACGATGAAACTAAATTAATTGAGTTTGATTAATAGAAATAATTAGCCATATTAAATTAATGAAGATTTATGATAAATATTCAAAACTAAAAATACTCTTTATGTATCTATTTTGTAATGAATTTAAAGAAATGGCTTTGCTTATCAGATATCTTAATTAATTCATATATATATGTATGTGTATATATTTATATACTTGTCTTACACAAGCATATATATATATTTATAAATTGCTTACACAATACAATAAAATAACATTAATATACTTATTTATAATAGAATTAAATTTATTATTATATATATATTTTAATCGATAGAGCTAATTTAAACTTCACGCTCTTTTTGATCATATTGCTATTCTTAAATCATTATTTTTCTATTATGAAATAAATATTTAGTAGAATAATAAATATTATATAATAAATTCAAAGAAAATTTAAAGTAATAAAAAAAAGTATCGAAATAGGTTTCGAACCTGAATAATTTTTTTCTCATATAATTAGTATTCATAATTAAAATTTAAGAATATATTTTTCATCCATATTGTTTTTTGACTATTCAATTATTCCATTCAAATATTTAATTTGGTGTAAGCTAGATTAATTATTACAGAAATGCGTCTTCTTTTAAATAAAACTCTACTTAAAGAAAAATCAAATAGATATTTAATCATAACAAGGAGGAAAATTAAGATTCTATTAAATATTCTAATAGCTCACTATTTATTATTTTGATATAGATAGAAGACCATTTCTTGTAATAAAAAGAATACTTAGGGGATAGAAGGTTTCATAACTAAATTTTGCTAAAATAGTTGCACATATAACTATATAAATGCTCTTATAATTAAATAAAGCATGTGAAAAATAGCTTTTTTTGTAATTTATTTGCCATATTCAAAAAAAGACATAAATTTGCTCTATATTAATATTACGAGTACTATGGATATTTCAGTAAAGAATACAGCTTATTTACATATTATTTTTACTATTAGAGTAGTTTTAACGTACAAAAAAATATTAACTTAGCTTCTTTTGAGCATATTTTTCAAGTTATTGGCACTATATATCAAATATATATTTATTATCCACAAATCCTTTATTCAAGAATAAATTTTTTGTGGAAACTTCAAAGAATATGAATACTATTTATATTTTACCTACTTTTTGTTGTTTTTATAAAAAATGGTGAGGTATTTTGTCTAATATACATTTGTTATTGTATTTATTTCAACAATTACATATTTGCTTTGTTGATTGGCTCTCAATATTAAAAAATAAGATAATGCTTGACCATATTTAAATTTTATTTATAAAAGAAAAGGGTCTTTTAATAAGTTCTAGTTTAGAAAGTAGGCACAAAAATGTTATTATATATTTATAGTTCTAAATTTTATTGTATTTTAGAGCAGAATTTACAAAAATTTTGACATCTAAGCTTCATTTATTTAATGATCTATGTTTTAAATTATATTTTGGTTTTGCTAATTTAAAATTATTGTGCCATTTTTTCATATTTTTAATATTATGAAAACATAAATAAATATTAATGAAAAATATTAATTAGTTTAAACTAGAAAACAAAATAGATACCCAATTACTGCAATAATGGCTAACAGCTTTAGTTCTAAGCTTCTTTACTTCTTTGTATTATTAAAGCTATGAATTGTTTTTTTGTTTTCTTTCTTTCATTCTTGCTTTATCTTACGTGTTAGTATGCTAACTTTATTTATTATGTCATTTTGCAATATTTTGTGATTGAGATGATGGCAAGTTGGGATATTTAAATCTTATTCATAAAATGATCTAATATTATTTAATGCGTGTTTTATTAATGAAACTTTAATTTTTCAATATTATTTTTAGAGATGATTTAATTAATTTAAATCAGATTTTAACAAAAAATAATCATTTAAAAACTTAATGAATTTTGTTTATTGGCAAATAATTAATTAATTCAAATTAATTTGTTAGAAAAAAAAATATTGAAACATTAAAAAATGGAAACAATTAGCTAAAATCTTGAAGGATTCTAAGAAGCTAA